TGTCGGTGGCGGCGGGTCTTCGCGTACCCGCGCGTGCTCCTCCTGCCCGGGGCGGGGGGGCGGCGGCGGTGATGTTCAGCCGGTGGCGATGCGGCGTCCTGGTGGCGGCGGCCAGCGGCGCGCACAGTGGTGGTGCTTCCACTTGGCGGCGGGGCGGTCCGGTGGTGCTGGGTGGCCGGTGTCGCCCGGATCCGACGCGGCCTCGACGCCCACTATGCGGGGAGGCAGGGGAGCGGCTTGGAAAGGGGCGGCAACGCCTGAGGGCGTGCCGGCTGCAGCGCGAAGGCGGGAAATTTACGGGCTTCTGAGAGCCCGACCGGGCCTGTGGGGCCATGGGCCTGGTATGTTCCTGCTATTGCGTCCGGTCAGCTATCGTCGCTGACGGTGAAGGTGGGGCCCTCCCGCGTGCTGACGGTGCTACTGCCTTGTCCCGACTCCTCTTCTTCATTGTGCAGGCCATGCTTCGCGGTGCCGTGGTGAGACAGCGTGGGAAGCTTCATGGCCGGATTGGTGCAGGGTGGTGGTCAGTTTCAAACCTTCTGCTTGGTCCTTGTGTTTTCAGTTTTACCAATCATGCCACATTCACATGGTCTCCACCTCGCCACATTCACGTGTGTGCGTGCGTTGGGTGCACGGGTGTGTCCGTGCACCAGGGTGTGTGTGTGTGTGCGTTTGTTGGCGAGCCAAGGTAGCCTGGTCAGGCGCGGGGCCGTTGGAGCTGGCCGTGTGACGCGGGCGTCGAGCACAGCGTGGGCGCGGTCAGTGCGCAGAGAGCGCGGGGAAGATCAGGGGTGAGTGGAGGCGTGGGTGCGTGCCCCGTGCGCCGGCTCGGGGTATAAAGCCACCTGATGGCATTGTAACAAATTGACACAGTCGAGTTCGTGCTCGCGAAGAAAAGGGGGCGTTCGTGCGCCGGAAAAACACCTGTGTCCACTGCTTCTCTGAATCTCTCTGAACTTCTTCCTCTTTTCTCTGGTGAGCTCGAGCGACGACGACAGAGAGGGCGAGGAGGAGTGTGGCGAGGGACTGGCGGTTCCAACAATTGGCATCAGAGCCACGTGGAGGAGGGAGCTCGCCGGCGATGTCCATCGTGCCGTACGCCGGTGGATCGGGCAGCACGGTGGCGCATGCGGCGCCGGTGCTCACGGGCGACAACTACACCACCTGGGCCATCAAGGTGGAGGCGGACCTTGATGCCGCAGGGCTGTGGGAGGCGGTGGTGCCGCCGGAGGACGCGGCGTCGGCGGTGATCGCCAAGAAGGACAAGCCGGCGAGGGCTTACCTGCTCCGGGCGCTCGCCGACGACCTTCTGCTGCAGGTGGCCGCGAAGAAAACCGCGGCGGAGATATGGAGCAGCCTGAAGGCGTGGTTCGTCGAAGCTGATCGGGTGCGGGCGGCGCGGCTGGGCACGTTGCGCGGGGAGTGGGAGCTTCTGCGCATGGCGAGCGACGAGTCGCTGGACGCGTTCGCGGGGAAGATCAGCGGGATGGCGGCGTGTTTTGCAGGGCTTGGAGCGACGCTGGAGGACGCAGCTATGGTGAAGAAGCTGCTGGACTGCGTGCCCGATCGCCTGTACGCGGCGGTCGCAGGCATGGAGCAGTTCTGCAACCTGGATGAGCTGCGGTTCGACGACGCTCTGGGGCGCCTGAAGGCGTTCGACGAGCGGCTCCGGCGACGCGGGCAGGCAGGCGGCGAGCGGGCGGACGGCGAGCAGCTCATGTACACCGCAGCTCAGTGGCGGGCGCGCGAGCGGCGTCGAGGCGGTGCACGCGGAGAGGGCGACGACGACGGCGCAGCAAGCACGGCATCAGGCGGCGGGGACAACCGTCGCGGCAAGTGCTACAAGTGCGGCGTCAGAGGGCACTTCAAGCGGGAGTGCCCCCTGCTGCGGAAGGAACCGGTCGCCGGGCGTGCGCTGCTGGTGGACGACGGCGTCGAAGACGCCGGGCTGCTCTGAGCCGCGGCTTAGGGCGTGAATGATGGGCGAATAAGCCACGGCGACGAAGCCAGGCACGTCGAGCGCGGGTATGGGCGCGCGCTGGACTGCCTGGGCGCGTCGGGTCCGAGGACTAGGACGTGTGTGTGTGCGTGCGTTGGGTGCACGGGCGTGTCCGTGCACAAGGGTGTGTGTGTGTGCGTTTGTTGGCGAACCAAGGTGGCCTGGTCAGGCGCGGGGCCGTTGGAGCTGGTCGTGTGACGCGGGCGTCGAGCGCAGCATGGGCGCGGTCAGTGCGCAGAGAGCGCGGGGAAGATCAGGGGCGAGTGGAGGCGTGGGTGCGTGCCCGGTGCGCCTGCTCGGGGTATAAAGCCACCTGATGGCATTGTAACAAATTGACACAGTCGAGTTCGTGCTCGAGGAAGAAAAGGGGGCGTTCGTGCGCCGGAAAAACACCTGTGTCCACTGCTTCTCTGAATCTCTCTGAACTTCTTCCTCTTTTCTCTGGTGAGCTCGAGCGTCGGCGACAGAGAGGGCGTGGAGGACTGCGGCGAGGGACCGGCGGTTCCAACATGCTCATGCTTGAAGTTCAGATCTAATTGTGAATATCTGGCTCTTGTGTCTTTCTTTATTTTGTGTGCCATTGTGTTCTGAATGGCAAGCACTTTGCAGACATTAAGCTAGACGTAATGGGATATAATCATTGGTATACTCGTTGATTCATGGTCCGGCATGATGAGCCATGAAACGGCTCATTTGGAGATTGTTAAATAACAACATTATTAGTTATTCAAGGCCTGTGAGACCACTTAGGGGTTCTCAAGAAATTAATTTAGCGGACGAATCACGTTAGCCGAACATGGAACCTCACCGGTTTCCGTATGCTGAACGAATCTCGAACTAGAGAAAATTGCATTGTGATTGGCTAAAATAGGGTTTCCGTATGCTGAACAAATCTCGAACTAGAGAAAATTGCATTGTGATTGGCTAAAATTAATGGCATATGACATGTGAGAGTGCCTGAAGATGTGGATTATGTTCTGTTCCAGTCTGTTAATAGCTCATACTACTAGCTAGCTATTTGACGAAACAGTGGGCGTCAACCAAAAGCTAAGAAAAATTAATAAATCATTCAGCAGCTAATGACCTCTCATATGCTCAGCGAGGCAAAATTATTGGTACAACTTGTTGATTCAAGGGCATGAAGAGCCATCGTCCAGCTGATTTGGACTTTGGTAAACAACAACGGACTATTAATGAGCCAAGACCTGCGAGACAACTTGTGGGGGTCCCGAGATATTAATTTAGCCGAGCCATCACATTCTGTTCAGTTGTAATTAGGCTGGCCATATTGGGGGTATCTTAGGCTGGCGGGGTAAGACCTCTTTCAATGCAAAGGTGCTTATGTGAGGTGCTAAGTGCATTAAATACCTTAGCAACTCAACTCCCCAATGCATAGGTGCTTAACTTGTTGTTGCTAAGCACACTTTATTTAATGAGTTAGCACCTAAAGTCTTTCATGCATTGATCAAATTGTTTCATTTAAGTGGTTTGTCTAGATTCTCACGCTTGGCATTGATT